CAGTGAGCGACCCGGCAGCTGAATTCTTCACCAGCTAAAGTTTCCAAGCCATCTTCAGAAGCAGCCCAACAAATAACATAATGCAGTAATCTAACCTAGAGCATAGACCAGTGTTTCCCAAACGTTTTTGGGCAACGGCACACCTGTTTACCGGAAAAAAATCTCGCGGCACACCACCATTAAAGCCCCGCCCCGTGACGTCAGCGCGCAGCGTCACGCCGGGAGGGACGCACAAAAGTCAAAGTTTTTTCCCTCCCCGCGAAGCAATGAAAGAGGGCGCCTCAACACCGGGAGGTGGGCAGGGAGCGGGGGGAGCGGCCAGACGGGCTCCGCTGGGGACTTTCGGCTGCCGGAGGCGGGGAAGGGGCGGCTGCAGCGGACCCGGAAGTGGTTGCGCCCATCGGGGGCGGTGGGAGCGCGCCGTGCGGGTTGGTGGGTGGGGGAAGGAGAGGAAGAGGAGGGGGCGGCGGCGGCGGCCGGAGGCTGGACGGATCCGCGCAGGGACGGCGCGCGAGCCGGGAGGAGGCGCGAAGAAGGAGGCAAGGCGAGAGCAGCGCGGCTCGGGATGCATTCGGACTGCCGGCTGCTGCGCCCGAGACGCGGGGTATGGTGAGCAGCCCGGAGCGCCCGCTCCCCCGGGGGACCCGGCCGGCGCTGGCCTCCCTCCTCCTCCTCCTGTTGCTGCTCAGGCGGGACGCGGCGGCGCAGAAAGGTGCGTGCGGGAGCCCCGCCGGGAGGGGAGGGACCAGAGCCTTCCCGCCTTTCTTGCTTGGCGCCCACCCAAAAGCCCGCCGGGTTTTCGCGCCTTCCTCCAGTAGGCCGGCCGAAGCGAGCGGCGATGGGATGTGGGAGCTCGCTCGCTCGCCGCCCCGCGTGTGCTCGCCGCCGCCGCCCCGCCTCTCGCCACCCGACTCGCCCGCCTCCCTCCCACGGCACACCAGCCGGTGTCTCACGGCACACTAGTGTGCCGCGGAACACCGGTTGGGAAACACTGGCATAGACAACAGTAGTTAGACTATCCCTGTCCAGATAAGGGCAAACCTGGGCCACCAGCCAAAGCTGATGGAAGGCATTCTGTGCCACGGAGGCCACCCGAGCCTCAAGAGACAGCAATGGATCCAGGAGTACCTGTATTCCAGCTCCTTCAGAAGGAGCATTACCCCACCAAGAGCAAGCAACCTCCCATCCATCTGGTCAAAGGAACAACCCACTATCAGAGCCTCAGTCTTATCTGGGTTGAGCTTCAGTTTATTGGCTCTCATCAAGTCCATTGAGACAAGACAACGGTCCAGCCCATTCACACTGAAGGTTCCATGGGCCCAAAGAGCACTTCCCAAGCATTACCTTCTGGAAACAAACATCCAAGTAGTACCTCGCAGAAACCTGATACATGCTGAGTTCTACCTGCATAACTGGAAATTACATGACTACTTCCATTCATGGTACGTGACTAAACAGGCTAAAGGTGGCTTTGTGACTTGCCCAGATAAAAATCACAAAGCAAGTGTTTTGACCACATCAATTGTCAGTGTTAAGTATGGCAGCCACTGGGCAAAGTCGCTTGATATTTGTTTCACACAAAAGAGGGGGAAACGATTTAAATCAAACCCCTTCTCCTGCCTGGCCAGTCCTCAGCACACATGCAGAACCGCGTAGAGTAATGACTGAGACTGTGCACACACCATATATTTGAAGTACATTGCACAGAGACTCCCCCAAAATACGAGAACTACAGTTTGCTCACTGTAGCTCCATGAAGGGTAAACTACAGTTCTCAGAATTCATAGTACAGCCACAGACTGAAAGTTTTGCATGTGCTTCCTTACACTCCTCTAAGCCAGCAGTTTCTTCTCCAGTATTCCAGCCCATAAATCCCTCAAGCCTGGAGCGACTTGCAGGCTGGCAACACTGTGTGAAAAATGGCATCTAGAAGAGAGTGAACAAACATGTGCAGACTTCTCACAATGTCAAATTGACAGTGTGATATGGTCACATGCAAATAGGATGAAAGGCAAGGATGCTCCATCAAGCCTTATGCCAATCTGTCCCGTTATAGGGATCAGTTAAGTCTATAATGTTCTTCTATTTTATTTTATCCTACCCTTTTTACTAGCCTTCTTACTAGGACAATACACTTCAACTTTATTCTCACAATAACCCTGTGAGGTAGCTCAGACTGTCAACCCCAGTCAACTGATATACGTAACAGGGGTGCAGTTACTTTGTCTCTATGGTAGGTGTTTTTTTGGGGTGGGGCTCTTCATTACTACTCCTGCCCATTTGCTTGTTCCCCACTCTAGTTCCAATCCACACTACCTCCCACCTCCCAGACAGAAAGGACAAAGCAACGTTCTCCTTCTCTCACTGTATGTTTGTTTGAAGCAGGCAAGTGAAGCAGCAGAAACACTGAGGAGAATCATCTGGCCCTGGAGGTTCATGGGAATGGTCTTCTTATTTAAGCATAAGCCTTGGTAAGTGCCCAGTGATGCCAGCCCCTGTCACTGGCCCCGTCAGAGCAGGAAGTGAGAAACCTGAGCCTCATTAGCTACTTCAAATAATATGCGCCCAGGCAACACTCATGGTTCCCTAAACCAGCCATCTGTTAACCCACATAACTCTTGAGCAACAGTATGCTGCAAAACTGAAAAGGAGTGAACAAAATAAAAGCAAACAGTAACATACAAAATATATGCAACTCGAACAAGACATGAAACACAAAGGCAGAAATATTTGGCTAGAGTTAGAAGAAAATTCCATCATGATTCTACAACAGAGCAGAAGGGTAGACCTCAACCGTGAAGGGAAATTTATTCATTGACACTTGTGGGAGGTACAGCTTGGTTCTGCTCATATTGTTGTCTCCAGTTTTACTGTAGTTTTGGGGCAATACTGATATCTACATTTACTAACTATGAAACAGGAATTGATTGAGTCACAGGCACCTCATATTCTACATATGTGTGTGGCCTTCCTGTTCCCCCAAAAAACTGTAAGCAGACCAACTTGTAATATTTCAACTCTGTTTTCAAAATCAATGTAGTTTTCTGCTCCCTACTGTTTCCAAATGTGATACTTCTAATAATTAGAAATTTAATTGTGGGGGCAGAATGCTTCATTCAAAACAGAGATGTGTTTCGAATAAACGGTTTTGAAATCTTATAACTAGGTGTGATTGCAGGAACCAGAATGTCTCCCCGCTCCCTCCTCTACACACATATATTGTGGGTGATGTGACTCATGGCTCAACTCATCATATAAAGACCTACAAGCTCAACATGTAACAATAACATTTTATATGTATTAGTTTGTATACCATCAGTCCCCTTCAACTGCCTCCAGTATGTTAACCACTGTGATATATTTGTTGACTATAATTATATGCACTCTCCACAAAATGTACAGCCTCTATGTTATGAGTACTTGGTGGCTGAGGAATTTACCAAAAGAATATGAGAAAGTAGCATTTTAATATTAACAAAGGGGTCTGCCTGTTGACAGATTTGTAAAAGGTTGCTCTGTTTCACTATCACACATGACTCATTTTCCTTACTCTGCCTTTATGATGTTTACAGGCTCCGTTTATTTTTATAACCCAATCAATCTTCAAAAGTCAAAAAGGTAACATAATTTAAAGAGCAAAGGGGAAATATAATTTACATTATTCCTTTGCTGTTTGTTGTAGGTGATGCGTCATCACCTCCATCAAATTTTCAGTATTAAGCTTAAAGTTGTTGGAGTGTTTTATCAGTCAAATGCGTGGTCTACATTTACAAAACACACAAATAGCTAACCAACATGCATTTGCATTTGTTTTGGGGTTCCATGGGGGAAAGAATCATATTTCCATGGTGTATCTAGTCTGAAGCCTCGAAGGCATGGCTGTTCCACAGTATATATCTAATCTGGATCTGAAGCCCTGAAGGCAGTTTGGGTGAGCACTAAGTTCATGAGGGGGTCAGGCCCATAATTGAGTTTCAGGAGCTCAGCAAGGAACACTGCAGAAAGAAAGGCAATATTTTGAAGCCACCGAATTCTTTTCCAGTTCTGATTAAAACTCAAGCAGAGGAGACTTCCCAATTGTAACCTTCAACTCATGCTCCCAGCCTCAAAACAGCAGCAAAAAGCAGGGGACATTAACCAGCGGTTTAGGGCTAAACATCTGAAATATATCAGGGTTTCCAAAATAAAGTACCAATATGGGTATCTGATAAAACATGTTAAGTTTGAAGAACACAATTAGCTCAGAGCAGCTTGCCCCATCCTAGTGCCCTACAGTAGCTGGATTAGGACTCCTAGCATCTCTGAGCATCATCCATGCAAGCTGCAGGTGATGTCAGATGTACTACAAAACGTATTCTTGGAGAATAATAATCACACCCACAGATTATCTGGACTACTTAACATTCTCTCTCATTTCTTACAACTGATTTTCCACTAGATTTTCAGGCACTTTAAATCATGAAAAAAAATGAAAACCACTTTCTGAAATGCAACTAACTCGACAACGTATTCTCAATGGGCTGTATCCAATAATGCAGTAGTGCTGGCAGAATGGACTTCCCTGAATGAAATGGAACTTCTTTTTTCTCCCCAGACCACTCTCTGGGCAACTGTCCAGAGCATATTTGGGGTGGGAAGGGGTGTGTGGAGAGGAAATTGAAGTCCTGTTGTGGCAGCGGACCCTCACTGGGACAGCATTAGGTACAACCTGATGAGAAGAAATTAGTCTTCTTTTCATTAAATAGACTTCCAATCCTATGGCAAAGTAGGCTTGTTTAAACCACTGGCCTAAAAAGCAGCAGGTATAAGTAAACTGTGTGCAGAGTAGAAGCCATGATTTGTAGGAGCAATTGCATACTTGGCACACGCACGCGCACACACACACACACACACACACTCTCTTGAAGTTATGCAGCTCCTCCACACAGATTTCCTTTAAAATAAACACTTCTGTGGTACTCCCAATGTAAGTTTTAAAACACAGGATCTTAAATACTTACTGTGTTTTTCTGAGACACCATGTCCTGGAAAAGAATGGGAAAAATGCAACTTTATAAAGTGTAAAATATAAATGTTTGTGCCATGTTTGCAAAACTCATACCTTGAAATTTTATTTTTGGAGGTTGAAATGCTTTGGGGAAAGGAAGCATAAGGCTGGGCTGTGTTTTAGAAACACAATTTGGGACTATAACTCTATTGCATAAGCAGATTTAAAAAAAAATTCTAATATATCTGTAACTTGGGCATCTTGCATCCGCTTTCTCTGGTATTTTGGAATGCTTCTGTTCAATACCTAGTTCATTTCCTACTGAGAAACCATCCTGACTTTGTTAGGAATAAGAAATAGTAAACTATTCAGGCAGAAATGAAATAAGAGTAATATTTAGACAGACAGACATTCAACAAATTAAACTTTCCCAGTCACACACTCTTTATATCACTAATGAATTTTCGCCCAATACAGAATTGTTTTAAGTGACACAGTGCACCTATGTGCATTGTAAAATAATTAGCGTAGAGTGTAGTAGTAGTTGACCAGGCAGAATTTAACAGGTATAGCTTATCCAATCACTTGACGAAGGCAAGCACAATGATCCTATTCCGGGTTAGTAATCAAATCAAGATTGGTCTATTTCCATGGAAAGTGTGAGTCATTTTCCCTTCCAAAAACATGGAAATACTAGGGTCAAAAATTCTTCCACAGAAGAGAAGAATTAAGGCTCTTTTAAATTCACTTGTAAACCCAAAAGTATGATAAATCTAAGCTAAGGCTCCCACCTTAAGCACTATGTAAGCAGTAAGTATGTTCCAAATGACAGAGTACAATCATTTTGTAATAAGTTGCAACTCAAATCTGTAAGCATTCATACTTTCCCTTGTTGTTTTAGTTCTAGTGATTGGCTGTTTGGGTATAACATTAAATCTGAAGGTATCATAGGAGCACCTCTCTGATTTTCCTATATGTTTTTGACCTAGAGTGAATAGTACTACTTCCAAGCCATATGAGGAACTTATTTCCATGGGTCTTATGTGATAATTAATTCATGAGAAACTTACTGTATTTTTCACCCTATAGGACGCACTTTTTCCCCTCCAAAAATGAAGGGGAAATCTGTGTGCGTCCTATGGGGCGAATACAGGCTTTCGCTGAGGCTTGGAGAGCGAGAGGGGTCGGTGCACACCGACCCCTCTCGCTCTCCAGGCTTCAGGAAGCTATCAGCAAGCTTGGGGAGCCCGCGGGAGTTCCCGCAGGGCTCCCAAGGCTGCGGATAGCAGCCTGCTGCACGGAGCGCGGGGTGCGCTGAAGCAGAGCGCCCCGCGCTTACGGCAGACATCAGCCAGCCCCACAAATTCGGGGGACAGCGGGGAGGCACAGCACCGCCATCCCGCTGTTCCCCGACCTGGTTTTGGGGGGTAAATAAAGGGAAAATTTTTTTCCTTTATTTCCCCCCAAAAAAACTAGGTGCGTCCTACGGGACGGAGCATCCTATGGGACGAAAAATACGGTAAGTCTTCTAACCTGAACATTCTTTTTATCCAAGACTTTAGTTTATAAATGCACACATTTATAACTTTATTGTGATGCTTGGTAATAGTCCTGTTGAATTAAACAGGGCTTTTCAGTCAAATCATTTATTTATACCATGACAGGAACAAACGTATCTTCTGCATAATTAGGTATTTACAATAAATGGCACTGTACCTTCAGTGATTGAGAAGTATCAGCATCAGTGTCATGATAGAGTATAACATTATTGGCCATATCAAAACTTTCACGAACTCCAAGGTGGTAGAATAGGGATGGTTGTCTGGAGACATCACTCATATCCACTACTGCAACATCTGTAATAAGAAAATTTGATAAGACTAGAAAGGGAGATGGAGGAATAAACTAACATGCCTATCTCCTAAACCAGCTCATCTTCCCTTATAAACAATGTTGGAAATGCTAGATTTTTCCTTTCAAAATTGCATTCTTTCCCTAAATGATCCACCTCATAACTTACAAGCAGAAGTTGTAGGGTGGTATCCAATGTTAGTTCTATCCACACTAGACCCACTGAAATTAATGGACATGACTAACTTAAGTGCATTGTTTTCATGGGTCTACCCATAGATCACAATATTTTGAGGGCACCACTTGCCCTAGTCTGTTAGGGATCACTTTGCTAGCATCATAACACTATAATGTCACATAGTCAATCCCTCCAAACTGGCAAAGACTTATACTCACATCTCATCACATTTCATCAGAGCTACACAACAAAAATAAAAATTGCCAAAGGAAACTGAAATGATTGTCAGTGCGGTGTTTTATATTGGGGGGAGGGGACAGCTGTAAAAAAATAAGTCTACATAGGGTTTGTGCCTGTGTACGTTCTGGAGACTGAATGCCATGAAAGCAGATCACTTTCCTGATGACAGCATTTACACAATGTGTTCATTGATTAGGCCACTGTACAATGCAGCACAGCTGATGACCCTGATGAGCTGGTGAGTTTATTGAAACAGGGTTTATTTTTCACCTTGCAATTCCTTATGAAACAAATACCATCCCTCTAGCCAAATAGTTGGTTCATATGAGGTGCTGCGGGAAGACCATTTACCTACACTGATCTCTAATAAATGGGAGGGACTGCAACCCCATAATAGAGTCCATGCATTGCATGCCAACGTTCCCAGAATTAATAATTGAATCTCAAATGAGAAGATCAAGAAGCAGGTCTGGCTAAGCAGGGCTAAGAACCTGGATAGCTGGTGACAATTGGGACAACCCTGGGCTAGGTGGACCTATGTTCTGAATCTGCATCACATGGCTTCATATGTTCTATCATGAATATTATAACCGAGAGTGTTCATATATTATCTTATTAACTAGTTACAGCCACTATGTGATGGCCTGGGATTCCGATTCGGAGGATGAAACAGAGGAATCCCAGCCTGCACAGGAGTCCCCGCCTCCAGGGCCGGCTGAACTGGGGCAGGGCCTAGATGCTGAAGAGCCTGCACCTGTGGCAGTGCATCAGGAGCTGGCCCCAGGTGAAGCCCTTCTGGCCCCAGAGAGGCTTGACGACTCAGTGGCCACAGGTGAGCCTCCTCCAGGGCCCAGTAACCCTTCGGCCTCTCCTGATCTGCAGAGGCTTAGGGCAGAGAGGCGAAGGGAACTGGTTGCCCCCAGGAGGAGTGCTCGCCTTAAGGCCAGAGGAGGCAGGGCTCCTGGGGGCCGGGACCGCCCCTGGCCTTAGAAGAGGATAAAAGCCCAGTCAGCCCGGCCCCAGGTTGCGGGAGCAACGTCGTTGTTGGCTTCGGACCTTCCTGTGTTCCTGATCCCTGCTCGGCCTCCTGTTCCTGACTATCCGGTACTTCTGTTCCCTGCTCGGCCTCCTGTTCCCGACCATCCGGTGTTCCTGTTCCCTGCTCAGCCTCCTGTTCCAGCGTTCCTGTTCCCCGCCCGGCTCTCCGCCTCGGACCTCGCCCCTCTTCGTGTGGACTCTGCTACACCCACGGTACCTTACCCCCGGGACCAGCACACACTATTTAGAAATCAAAATTTAACAATGGGCATAGCATCATGGATATTGTGATCTGGAAATGTTATCTGTGTCACAAACTCACCCAGTAACCTAATTAATATAAGCCAGAATAGTTTTTCCAACTGTGGCCAGCCACGTACCTTCAGGCAGTCCATAAGTCCTTGACTCATTCAAGAGTGCCTGTAGTTGGTCTATTATGAGCCACATAAGAACCTTGCCCAGGAAGGTGACATTTGCAACGGGACTATATTCAGATCTTCTGAGTCTAAGGAGGGTCTCTTAAGGACTGGTCTCCCTGATGCCTCTTTCAGGCAACCTGGCACCACTTCCTCTCAGAAAGGTAGTCATAATCTCCTTGGCCCAGCTGGAAGTCTCCTGGGCAAGAACACAAGTAGCAACCTGCTACTGTCTAGCACCTTGTCCATATACTTGAGCCTTATCAACTGAAACTCATCCATTAACACATGACCAGACAACACTATGGAAGCCTCCAGAAACCGACCTGCTACAGTAGCAGTGTCGAAAACCTTATAGATGCAAGTTGTTTATATCCTTGCAAATAAAGTCACAACAAGCTATAAGAAGGTACCAGTGTGCAAAATACCCCATATAAAGCTCCACTGGATAAGACACCAAGCACACAATGAAAGTAGAGAAGCAATTCTTTTCTGAAGGAAAAGGTGGTGAGGAGTTATTTCTGCCAATTCGCCCCTGGTCACCAACTGCTCTACAGGCTTGGGGGATCCTGGGAGGTGGTGCAGGAGACTGTAGGATGAAAGGCGGAATCAGAAGAAATCACCTCCTGCACAATTTTCATTTGTGGAAGCTTCTAATGGATCAAAGAACCTTCTATCATCAGAGCAAAATAAGTGTGTGCAATCCATTACCTTAACACTAGTTGTTGTTTTAAGAAGGTTTCTCTGCAAAATATTATAATAAAAACCCAAGTTGTTTATTCCCACAATACATTTCATTTAAACAAATTATAACTTGGCTCACGTTGTGAACCAAGCTTACACATGATTCTGCAAAGGCATATAAAGTGAATTGAGCCTGCATGAAGTAACAGGCATAATCAAACAGTGCTTTTCCTAAATATATCCCAAGACTATGGTGTAGAGTTACAATTGTACCCAAACACTCCATCTATCATCATTCTCCTGGAGCACTCATCACTTGCTAAAAATAGCAATGCTGCTTATTTTCTACATTCAGGTATCAAATGAATTGCATCTGCTCCTCAGACAATTTGTCTCAATTACTACATAATGGCAGCATATTTTAAAATCAGTCTTACTATTTACTCCAAACAATTGAAGTTAATTTCAGAGGAATGAAGGGTGAACCTGAAGTGATCAAGTGGCAGATCTTCTTATTTTAGTATTTTGACCTACTCAGGTCAAATATGCTACAGCAAAAATATTTGTTTGGCAATAGACATATAAACATTGTCAAATCAAATCAAGTACCTTCCTTTTCATTTTTCAAAACTGTCAATAAATAAAAATTCTGACAGCTTCTTCCCGATCCCTACAAAACAAAGCATGCATATGTAAGCAGGGTTTTAACCACTGGAACTCTAACTATTGCAGGCTAGGCAATAGTATGTAAAAGCTAAATGAATAAATCATTTGCCTCTTACCCCTGTACTTGGATTCTAATGCAAATGATATTTTAACCACAAGAAAAGTATGTCCCTTCTATCTCTTTGAATCAGTGTCACCTTATTAAAAACAAAACAAAACAAAACCTTAAGCCATTGACTGTTATTTCACTTTATATACTTTTTAAATATAGGAAAGTTAAGATGACCTGGAACTTGAGAACAATTAAACTCTCTGTAATGCTTTTTTTGGCTTCATTTCTTTCAAAGCTGAAATGTCAGGGTCAAAGTGTTTTTTTGGTGTGGTTTTTTTTTTTTTGCAAGTGTGTAAAATAATAAAGAGATGCATCTTTCCACAGAATAAACTGAGCAAGGTATTGATTTTCTTTCCACCTGTAGATTTGATGAATGTTCTGAAACAACTGTAGTAATTAATTTTGCATGGTGCTTTGCCAACTTCATTTCCCCCCTTTTCCTTTCAGGTTTCTAAACAAATAGGCAGCACAAGCTTACACATGTTTACTCAAGAGCAAATCCTATTGTATCCAATGGGACTTACTTCCAGGTAGAAGTCCACAGGTCTGCAGCATTAGTTACCATATTTTTCCATCTATAAGAAGCATCCATGTATAAGATGCCCCCTAATTTTTGACATTTTTAAAGGGAGAAAAACTAGTCTTATACACGGGAAAATACGGTACATAAGAACAGTAAATGAAATGCAGTTTGTTATGTGAAGCCCCATTAACAGGGCTGATTTTTCAGTTACATGTGTAGGCTTTAATAAAAGCTTATAGAAAGAGGCAAGTATAATAATTTGGAGTCCAATGCAGCTTTAAATATGAAAAAAAATTATGATTATCATATTCTAAACCAATTCATTTCCCAGAAAATACTTTTCAACTGAACTAAGGTATGCTTTAAATAAACTATCTGTATCATCCAATCATGCAGATACTTAGAAACACCTTTTAGATAACAGTATTAAACAGGGCAGAAAGTTGGCCCATAATACACATTTGTGCTTAACAACAGAACCTGGTGTTGGTTTGCATTTTGATTAAAACCCAAAAATCAGTCTCTGTGATTAAGGAACAGAATGCATTTCACCTTTTTTGTTAAAGAATAACATCACTATGCTGAGCAAATGCAAAGAACAAATGAGTTTGTAGGACAATAGGATCAGCCCTGTTGACAGTGGCATAGGTAAAGGACTATGGAGCAGAGAAAATAGGAAGAGGGACTCTCCTTTCTCAGTCCTAAACTGAAGATACTCTCAACATCACTGCTAATACAATAGCAAGAGACACGGGTGGTCTGAACCACTGAGCCTCTTGGGCTTGCCAGTGGTGGTGAGCTCCCGTCGCTTTGTCCCAGCTTTTGCCAGCCTAGCAGTTTGAAAGCACATCAGTGCAAGTAGATAAATAGGTACAGCTGCAGTGGGAAGGTAAATGGCTTTTCCATGTGCTCTGGTTTCCATCATGGTGTCCCATTGCACCAGAAGCAGTTTAGTCATGCCCCAGAAAGCTGTTTGTGGAGCTCTGGCTCCCTTGACCTGAAGCGAGATGAGCACTGCACCCCATAGTAGCCTTTGAATGGACTTAGCAGTCCAGGAGTCCTTTACCTTATTATAATACCATGGAGCTGGCAGCTGAGTAACAGGAAAGTTTCTCTTCTCTCCTTTCCCCCCAGTCCTTCATCCAAATGCTAACTGGGAAAAGCTGTTCTTCCACCTCTTTATCTGCTATAAAGCCTTCTAGTTCAGTATGCTAACGGACAGAGCACAACCTCTCGCCTTATCCCAGAATGAAAAGATAATAAAGAAAGAAAACAAGGTCCTTAGAAGAGAGGTAAGCGAAGCCACATAATGGTTTATTACAAGGTGGCAGGATCTGGCTCATAGTAACAAATGGATTCTACAGAATATTTAGGGATAATCTTCATACTGCCTTTACAAATGCATAATTCTTCTTATAAGATTCCAAGAACAAACTCCCTCCCCCTGTCCGCAGCATCCCTTCCTTAAACACACTACTGGAAGAGAGAGCTCTCAATGGCATTTATCCATAAAAGCCAAATGAAACCTCCATGCTTAGCCAGTATGTGTACCTTTCAACACAAGATGTCGGGGACAAACAGCAGAGATGCCTATGGCCTTCATGGGCTGCTTGCAAACTTCCAGGGCTATCTGGCTGATCCTGGTCTCTACAGGCATTACTGGAGGAAGAATGCTAGATTGTGGATGGTCACTAGTTCAGTCACTCCTATATGTTCTTGCTTTGCAAGAGAGCCTTTGTTGATTCATTAAGAGCAATGTAAGTTTTGCAAGAAGCCAAACTGAGGTCCCATTAAGGTGTACTACACAGGAAAGCAATGGTGGTCAACCTGTGGCTGTTTGGATGTTGTTGGACCTCATTCCCCATCAGCCCCAGTCAGCATGGCCATTGGTCAGGGATTATTCAAAGCCACAGTGCAGCAACATCTGAAGGGTCACAGGTTTCTCATCCCTTAAGTTGTGAAAAACCACGTTTAAGACAGAAATCTTACATATATTTCCTGGCTATGGAAGTCCCATTGAACACAATGGGATTTACCAGACACAGATCTAGAGTTTGGGGGGCCCTGGGCAGGCTGCACTTTGTGGGTGCCCCATGCCAATCCCCCCCCAACACACATTTCCAGTTGGGTCCCCCAGCTGTAGCCATAGGAGCATCTTCTCATCCCATGTACAGTGGTACCTCTGGTTACGTACTTTATTCATTCCAGAGGTCCATTCTTAACCTGAAACTGTTCTTAACCTGAAGCACCACTTTAGCTAATGGGGCCCCCGCTGCTGCCACGCCACCACCACAAGATTTGTGTTCTCATCCTTAAGCAAAGTTCTTAACCCGAGGTACTATTTCAGGGTTAGTGGAGTCTGTAACCTGAAGCGTATGTAACCCGAGATACTACTGTACTCACTCTTCTGTAAGCAATGGGGGAGGGGGGGCAAGCACATAAGCAGGAGGCTGGCAACTGCACTACCACCAAGGAGGACTAGTGGTGGTGCAGACCCTGCTGAGGAACATTTGTTGTTGTTTAGTCGTTTAGTCGTGTCCGACTCTTTGTGACCCCATGGACCAGAGCACGCCAGGCACTTCTGTCTTCCACTGTCTCCTGCAGTTTGGTCAGACTCATGTTTGTAGCTTCGAGAACACTGTCCAACCATCTCGTCCTCTGTCGTCCCCTTCTCCTTGTGCCCTCAATCTTTCCCAACATCAGGGTCTTTTCCAGGGAGTCTTCTCTTCTCATGAGGTGGCCAAAGTATTGGAGCCTCAGCTTCAGGATCTGTCCTTCCAGTGAGCACTCAGGGCTAATTTCCTTCAGAATGGATAGGTTTGATCTTCTTGCAGTCCATGGGACTCTCAAGAGTCTCCTCCAGCACCATAATTCAAAAGCATCAATTCTTCGGCGATCAGCCTTCTTTATGGTCCAGCTCTCACTTCCATACATCACTACTGGGAAAACCATGGCTTTAACTATAAGGACCTTTGTTGGCAAGGTGATGTCTCTGCTTTTTAAGATGCTGTCTAGGTTTGCCATCGCCTTTCTCCCAAGGAGCAGGCGTCTTTTAATTTCATGACTGCTGTCACCATCTGCAGTGATTGTGGAGCCCAAAAAAGTAAAATCTCTCACTGCCTCCATTTCTTCACCTTCTATTTGCCAGGAGGTGATGGGCCCAGTGGCCATGATCTTTGTTTTTTTTGATGTTGAGCTTCAGACCATATTTTATGCTCTCCTCTTTTACCCTCATTAAAAGGTTCTTTAATTCCTCCTCACTTTCTGCCATCAAGGTTGTGTCATCTGCATATCTGAGGTTGTTGATATTTCTTCTGGCAATCTTAATTCCGGCTTCGGATTCCTCCAGCCCAGCCTTCCGCATGATGAATTCTGCATATAAGTTAAATAAGCAGGGAGACAATATACAGCCTTGTCGTACTCCTTTCCCAATTTTGAACCAATCAGTTGTTCCATATCCAGTTCTAACTGTAGCTTCTTGTCCCACATAGAGATTTCTCAGGAGACAGATGAGGTGATCAGGCACTCCCATTTCTTTAAGAACTTGCCATAGTTTGCTGTGGTTGACACAGTCAAAGGCTTTTGCATAGTCAATGAAGCAGAAGTAGATGTCTTTCTGGAACTCTATAGCTTTCTCCATAATCCAGCGCATGTTTGCAATTTGGTCTCTGGTTCCTCTGCCTCTTCTAAATCCAGCTTGCTGAGGAACATGGGCCCCTACAATTGCCCCTGTATTGTGCTTTCACAACACATTTTGAAATATGTTGGTTGATTATCCTGGTTTCCATTAAACTTTGTTTATGGTGCTTCTTCAGCTGCACAAAGCTCTTTGCAGGGCTTCTTCCGTGCTGTATAGCCTCACAACCCTGCTTAGCCACTACCATTCTATTTGCACAAACTGAGACTGAAATATCTATTGCTCAAGGACAGCAAATGAGCATCTCCATGTCATTTCCTTCCTATTCTGTACTACTTCCCTGCTAGTTTCAGGACTTGGCCGTGTAACTTGTTTGCAATATGCACTGTCTTGGAAGATGTGAACGAATACTAAGCTTATTGCCTCCATGCATGTACATAATGCATTTTCCCCACAACATGAGGTTACACGTGAAAGTAAATCCCGACCTTCTTCACTGCTGCTAAACTGCGGGGGGGGGAGGGAGGTGTTATTTGGAACAGTGATGAAAGGAGATACTTACGATTCCCTCCCCACCCCTTTACCGCAACGATGCACTCTATCTTGCACCTAAACGGTTTACGAGGAGAAAGCAGCGCGTTAAGCATGAATGCCAACCTCCTCTTCATTGCAAACAGCCTTTTTGACAGCAAGAGGCTTCACAGCTGGAAATATATTTAAATAGAAGCTTTAAAAACATTTGCATACACACACAACCTGATACAGGAACATGGGATCGTCACTGCCCACAGGTGCCAACTCCTAGGGGCAGAGTTCACTTCGCCCCTTTCTCCAATAAAATATTTGAAAGGGCTGCCCCCCCCAAAAAAAGTTGATGAGCATTGCCATTCAAAAAGTGTGCGCGCACCGTGTCACGTGATTGATTATGCAGAGCAGGGCTCGCCTGCCCCCCACCCCACGCCCAATATTTTTTTCAAGTTGGCACCCCTGCCAGTGGCAGCACGCAAAGGAAGGCCGGGCGCCTGCGCTTTCGACGCTAGCCGTTCAGCACCGGGAGTAGCGGGTCCTCCTGCAAAGCTGAAAAAAGCGGCGCCTGCAGAAATGAACCCCTCCCGCCTTTCGGCACAACTTCTAAAAGCACAAGAGCCCTCTCCTCATTCATTGCACAGAGGTGCTTAGAAATCCACACGTATTGCGGGAGGAGGGGGAAAGCTGTGATCTCTTGGCGCTGAGACAACCTTCCTGGGATAAAGGGCCAAAGGGCGCAACCAGATCAGAGGGCGCGTCCGCACCTCGGGGGAAGGGCTTTGGTTTTGTTTTTAACCAGCGATTCCAGTCTTCAAAGATCTGCCGAGCGTCCCCGCTGCCTCGCGTGCCCTCGGGGCAGCAGGGCAGCTGTTTGGCTTGGGCGCCCCTCGCCCTGCCAAGGAAACAGCTTCTCCTCAGCTGCTGAACGAAAGCACGCCGCCAGGCAGGCAGGCAGGGGCGGGGGGCTGGAAGCGCTAGTGGCGCCTTGGGGGGCGCCTGTTGCTGAGGGAGCCTGGCGCCTGGCTTTCGCCCCCTCCCCTGCGCGGAGGGGCTGCCCCTCCGGCCTCCTTTCTCTCCGCCAGCTGCCCTCACACTCACCCGCGTCGTAGAAGGCGTCCAGCACGGCCGTCTCGCCGAAGTCCAGCTCGCCAAAGTTGACGGTGCTGAGCTGCGCTCCCTCGGCCTCGCAAGCTCGCGCCAGGCACTGCAGCGCGCCGGCCTCGGGGCTCCGCGCCCCCGAGCCGCCCTTGGGGCCGTCGTTGAGCACGTACACCGCCCGCAGCGAGCGCTGCCGAAGCACCGGCCCGTTGCCCTCCGGCGCCACCTCGGAGCCCGGCGGCAGCGCCTCGGCACCGCCGGGCTGCTCCGACGAGTCCCCCGCGCTCGCTCCCGCTGCAGGCGGCGGCTGGGGCTGTTGCTCCGCGGGCGCTGCAGCTGGGACGACGGTGCCGCCGCCCGCCGGGTTCTCCATGGGGCCAAAGCGGGTGGCTGCGCCCGGAGAAGTCGGCGAAGGGGGCCCCCGCCCTTAGGGCGCGAAGGCGGGAGGCAGGCTCATCCCGCCGGGCCAAAACAAACTTCGCCGCCGCCGCGCCGGAGGTGGGGGGGAGAGAGATGAAAAGGCCGGCGACGCCTTTCTCCCGTCAGCGCGGCTCGCCTCGAGGGCAGGAAAGCTGCCCGGAAAGCTCCCCGCAGGGCTGCTGGCAGCGCCTGGCGCGCGGGCCGGTGCTCGCCCTGTCACTTGGTTCCTAAAGGTGCCGCTTGCCCGTCAGGGGGCGCTCTTGGGCGCGCCGCAGCCAATAGCACTGTCCCCACTGATACCGCCAGCGGCGGTGCCGCCGACCCGCGCCCCCGGGGGAAAGCCCAGCTTGTGTCCGTCGGCGCTCTTGAGCGGCATTTATAGGAGCGCGGCAAATCTTCGAGGTGCCTAAAGGGGGTGGGGCTGCTCCTGGGCGGAGCCATCAAGGTCCCGCCTTATTTTTCTTAGGCGGTCTGGCCAGGGGGTCTCTGTGGGGCACTCCTAGGACTGGACGCTCCTACAGGCCTTGAAGTCATTTTAATTGTCATGCTGAAGTTTTGGCTGCTTGGTTGTTGTTTTTTAAAAAATGATACATGTTTTAAGGGGGAAAGGCAATGTCCGGTTTTCATAGACTGCTGGGATTACCCAACACAGTGATTTCCTAACACAGGAAAATTGCAGTTGGCTTCTGTTACATGCAGAAACTGCAGGAGGACGTAAGGGGATCTTGATAAAGGTAAAGGTACCCCTGACCATACCAGGACACGGGTGGCGCTGTTGGTTAAACCACAGAGCCTAGGACTTGCCAATCAGAAGGTCGGCGGTTCGAATCCCCACGACGGGGTGAGCTCCTGTTGCTCGGTCCCTGCTCCTGCCAACCTAGCAGTTTGAAAGCATGTCAGAAATGGCTTAGTCATGCTGGCCACATGACCTGAAAGCTGTACGCCAACTCCCTCGGCCAATAAAGCGTGATGAGCGCCACAACCCCAGAGTCAGTCCCTTTACCCCTTTACCTTTACCCTTGACCATTAGGTCCAGTTGTGGACGACTCTGGGGTTGCGGCACTCATCTTACTCTATAGGCTGAGAGAGCCAGCATTTGTCCGCAGACAGCTTCCGGGTCATGTGGCCAGCATGACTAAGCCGCTTCTGGCAAACCAGAGCAGCACACGGAAACGCCGTTTACCTTCCCGCCGGAGTGGTACCTATTTATCTACTTGCACTTTGACGTGCTTTTGAACTGCTAGGTGGGCAGGAGGCTGGGACTGAGCAATGGGAGCTCACCCAGTCGCAGGGATTCAAACCGCCGACCTTCTGATCAGCAAGCCCTATGCTCTGTGGTTTAGACTACAGCGCCACCTGCATCCCCTGGAGCCTAATGGGTGAGGTGAATTTGCCCATCTGGTCTGGCATCGTGCTCTTACAGGGGCTGACCAGATGCCCGTGGGAAAGGACATGGGCACAACAGCACTCTGCCTACCCACAATTGGCATTCAGAAATATTACTGCCTCCCAACTGTGGAGACATGGCCAGCAGTACCTTATGAATATCAGAACTTCTCAGTGGCCCACCTTGCAAGGCTGTTTCCAGTGGCCCAGAAAATCCAGAACTATACTAGAGAAGCATAAGCAGGGCTGTGAGAATAAGAGGGAAATCCTAAATACTGGTATGTCTACTCAGGAGTAAATCTCATTATGTTCTTAGGTGCTTACTCCCTGGTAAGTTCACATAGAATCCCAGCCTATATATATATCTCTCAAGTTGGAGACCTCTTCCAGCCCATCCTCTTCCCACTGTAAGACTATAACAATTTATGGAAATGTCCTTTTTTTTTTGGTTCAGTATGTAAAATTAGTGCTTTTACACATGGGTACTCTTTTTTTAAAAAATGCATTTTTAAAAAGTATATTACTCTTAAATAGAGAAATAATAACAACAGAAGTCTTTTTTTACCACCATAATGGCATGTTTCAAGCACATTGCCTTTTTGCTAGTTTTACCAGCCCCTAGTCTTAGACATGAATGACAGTAGGGAAAGAAACTAAGAAAAAAGACATTTTTACCCCAAGCTGAGAAGGCCTCATTTGTTTTCTGCGCCTCTGTTGTGTGCCCCCCCCCAACCCTTCCAAAACTCTTCTGCGCACTCAGACTGGCCTGGTTTGCATGTTCTGGCAATCCAAACTATTGCTTACAAGGACTGAGCAAACATGTGGGGTCTTGGAGAAGATTTTGCAGCCACTCTGTTCGTCCCTAGTCTTTCTTACTGCTACACCACACTGAGGTATACCAAGGTTTGGCTTAGCACATTCTCTGAATTCAGGCACATAAGCTCTCTCCTCACTAACCGCAAGCTGTAGCCAAGTCATTAATGGGAGCTGGATATAACATATAAGAATGCAGCCTTAAAAAGTAATTTCTGATTTGCAAAAATATAGAGTACATACAAATACTATTTTAACTGACCCTCTCAGTGTGTGTTGGATTAACTTAACCTGTACTCAGTCAACACAGTGTGGTGTAATGGTTAGAATGTTGGATTATCACCTGGGAGACTAGGGTTTGAATCCCTGCCCAGCCATGAAGCTTGAGCCAGTCACCATCTTTCAGCGTAACCTACCTCACAGGGGTGTTGTGAGGATAAAATGGGGAGAAGAACCATGTGTACCACCATGATCTGCTTGGGAGAAAAGGTGGTATATAAATGTAATTAATAATAATAATATTCGTTTGCTGCAGGTAAACTAGACTTTAAAAGCAACAATGTCTTTATGATACATTGATATTTGCTCAAAACAAAAGTGAAAAATTAAAAGTCAAGTGTCCTTGCAAAACTTCACAAATTTTAAAATCAGAATTTGAAGTGGAACTATTTAGCAAACTCTAAATCCCACCATGGGATTGCTGGGGAGGGGGTTGGCATTTCGGAAACTAGCTTGGTAAAGATGTAGAAAAACACCTGATTTCATATTTTAAGAAATGTATTTTTAAATAATCAGCTAACTTCTTGTATGATGTAAAACGTGAATGTCCAAGTGCTACAAAAGTATCTTTAAGAAATTCTAATTGTGTTCACATATGGTTCAGTTGTTAAGTATAATTTTTTGCTTGACTAACACGTTAGGTAATTGACAATTATATACTGTACCAAAAAAGATATCCTCCTCTTGGACCTTTGAAAATCCAGTGCAATTTTAATGTGCTTTATGTTTTCTTTCAACTGTTCCTAGTTAACTGTAAACAGCATATTTTGTTTAACGAGAAAACAGAAATGATGGTGTAATCATGTACCTACACAGAAAAAAAGTAAAAGGGAAATTAGCTGCACAGCTAAAAGAATTGTTACCCTCATAACTAGGCAGGTGCTTTCATTTTGCATCTCACAAATAAGTACATCATTGTACAGAAAAAGTACTTGTACACAAACTATTTTCGTGTCCCACAACACAATTCTGACCAAATCTATATTTATTTCTAATAAAAGACATCTACAAACATTAAATAGTACAGGTAGCTTAAAAATCAATCCCATTTCAGAATTATAGCTTTCTCCCAGAAGGCAGATTTCTGTGCATGGATCACTTTGGATGTATACACACAACAGGGTGTATATACATTTAACAGGGGTGCTATGCATGGAGATTCTGTCTAGCCGAACAATTGAACATAGCGAGCAGACTCTGGTAAGCCCCGCCCTGCATAATCAATTGCAAGACCCAGCGCGCACACACCATTCAAGAACAGCAATGCCCATCAACTTTGGGGGCCCCAGCTCACTCAAATATTTTATGGGGGGGTGCCAAGGGATCTCAGCCCCTAAGAGTTGGCTCCTATGGTTGGAAATCACAGTAAATCACAGCTCCCATGCTCCCTGGAAGGAAACTGCACTCCCAAACATGCTCAGATACATCACTTCTATGGAAACGAGAGGCCAGTAAAGTATCATCTATCTATCTAGTGTTTCTCACTGCCGGTTATGCACACACTTTTCAAAAGTAAGGGTTATTTCTTTTTTTGCAGGGAAATGGGCTAGTTGTGGAGGTGATTCTAAAGAACACTTTGAGTCAGATCTGCATTTGAAGGGAATGCCCCCCCCTCAAAGTATTTAAGGTCCATTAAAGCTCCGCAATTGCAGATTCACCCTTATCACCCGCTCCAAAAGCAAATAGGAAAATGTGGCTGCTTCTCCATGCTCCTTGTCTGACATTCTAACCAATATGCTGACACTATATCATTGGGGTGGCATGGGGCATGATTCTGCTATTTCAATAACATAAACCCAAATCTCCTTTTTGTTTTTGGAAACAGTGGCTTGGCTCTTTGGTCCCTGGTTATTAATAGGCTATTATCTCAGATGATAAATGTTTATCTAGATAAGGATGGCATGTGTGGAACTCAAAGGGGAACCAAGTTATCAGAAAGTGCAGCAGCGGCTAGCACAAAATGCCAACAAAGGAACCCAACAGCCTGAAGGATACAGCAGACCTAAATAGAAAATACATCCTTGTATTTTCTCACATTGTATTTCGGCGGTGACTTTCTGAATAAATGAACCACCCATTTTTATTTTGGAGTTCCTAGGTAACAATAAAAAGCCTTTAAAATAAAATACCGTGATCCTGATCCAACAAGGGATATCCACACATGGAAGCAACCTTTTGAATAATAATAATAATAATAATAATAATAATAATAATAATAATAATAAATTTTATTTATATCCCGCCCTCCCCAGCCGAGCCGGGCTCAGGGCGGCTAACAACAGTCAAATAACAATCAAATAATAGCACATTCTAAAAATATTTCGTTATAAAAATTAGTTAAAATTAAATTGATGGCAACCGATTAAACAAAATTCTGTGCAGGTTGCCGGAGGAGGGAGTCAGGCTGCGCCCTGACCAAAAGCTTGGCGGAACAACTCTGTCTTGCAGGCCCTGCGGAAAGATGTCAGATCCCGCAGGGCCCTAGTCTCTTGTGACAGAGCATTCCACCAGGTTGGAGCTGCAGCCGAGAAGGCCCTGGCTCTAGTTGAGGCCAGCCTAACCTCTCTGAGGCCTGGGACCTTGAGGGTGTTATTATTTGTAGACCGTAGGTTTCTCTGTGGGGCATACCAGGAGAGGCGGTCCCGTAGGTACGAGGGTCCTAGGCCGTATAGGGCTTTAAAGGTTAAAACCAGCACCTTAAACCTGATCCTGTACTCCACCGGGAGCCAGTGCAGCTGGTATAGCACCGGATGAATGTGATCCCGCAGCGAAGACCCCGTAAGGAGTCTCGCTGCGGCATTCTGCACCCGCTGGAGTTTCTGGGTCAGTCTCAAGGGCAGCCCCACGTAAAGCGAGTTACAATAATCCAGCCTGGAGGTGACCGTCG